CCACCGGGTCCAGGATTCAAACCACGGTCGACTACGTGGGAGTCCAGCAACATAGCCATTACGCTAACTGCTGGTTCCTGTATATTTATCTTTAGGTCATACTAAACTGTCTTTATTACTGTAGCTGGATTATACATCTCAATCACTTAGTCCATGGCTCTCTGTTTTTTAAACAAACGTTTGGTTATTCTAGGATCTTTGCATTTCCATGTATATTTTAGTATCAACTTCTATATTTCTACAAAAACAACCCTGCTAGGATTCCAATTGGGATTTTGTGAATTACGTACGTGAATTCAAGGAGACTTGACTACAGTATTTTGTATTCTCACTTATAAACATGGTATATCCTTACCTTTCTGTTGCCTTTGATTTCTCTGAGTGCTTTATAGTTTTCAGTGCACAAGTCCTGCACATCTTTTATCAGATTTATCCTTAGGCATCTTTTTTTTAAAAACAAAGCAAAACAAAACAAAATAAAACAAAACAAAAAAACTTTTATTGCAGAATGGAAAGTGAAATTAAAAAAAAGTTGTTGCTAATGTATATAAATGTGCCTACATCATCCTGGAATCCTATAGTCTTGCTACTAAACTCAATTATCCTGTAATAGTATCTTACAGATTTCTTAGGTTTTTATTTTTTTTTTTTAAAAACACAGTCATGTCATTTTGTGATTTCAAAGAAATGTCAATGTTTTTATTTTATTGACTAATTACATTACTCAGAGACTGCTAAATTAGAAGTGTTTAGAGCTAGTGTCCTTGTCTCGTTTCTAATATTAGGAGAAAAGTGTTCAGTCTCTCTCTGTTAAGTGTGCTGTTTTTATAGATGCCTGTGAGTTCAGGGACACTTCCGTTCCTAAATTGCTGAGAATTTTTTTATCAGGAGTAGATATCAAATGTTTTTCTGTTTGTCTATTGACTTTTCTCTCTTGGTTAATACGGTAGGTTATATTGGTATTTGAATGGTATTAAACCAGCCTTTTGTTTCTGGGATAAATACTACTTGGTAATACCTTTTATATGTTAGACTCAATTTGCTAAAAATATTTGACTTTTTGTATTTGCGTTCATGAGTAATGTTAGTTTTTAATTTCTTCACGTGTAAGGTCTATGTCTAATTTTGATGTCAGAATAACCTTGGCCTTACATTGGGTTGCCAGAAAAGCCATGGATATTTTTGCATTGAAAAACAGAAAAATACATCATGACTTTTCTGACAACCCAGTGCAGTGTTATTAGGATGTCTTCCCTTCCCTTCTCTTCTATGTGTTTTGCTCTTTTTTTTTTTTTTAATGTTTGGTAAAGCTCAGTGGTGAAACCTTTTGTCTGGGCCTCTGTTCATAGGTACTTTCCATGTTTGCATTTAACATTTTTGTCCTGTAATTTTAACCTATATTATGTGCGTCTGTATTTAATGTGCATTTCTTGTGGGCAGTTTATAATTGTGTGGATTATGACCAAATTATAAATGACCCTTTTAAATATAAGGAGAAACTTGCCGGCAGGCTCATCAGCCGGCTTACCCTCCGTTTTTATTGACTGTGATTGTACCAGGGCTGGAGCCTAAGCAGTCACTGAGCAAAGGGGACAATGTGATCATCATGGTCGGCTTAGTTCAGAGCGTTTTGAACATGTCACCTTCAAACAAGTAATAGCAGCCGCACCCAGGAACTTGTTAAAGATTCTCATTCTGGGGCCCGCAGGTGGCGTGGTGGTTAAGGGCCCTGGACTCCCACATGGCTGATCGCAGTTTTGAGTCCCGGACCTGGCAGCTTGCTTCCTCACTTTCTCTCTTTCTCTCTCTCTCTCTCTCTCCCTCCTTCCCTCTCTGGTCATATTAAAATAAGTAAATAAAGTTAAATAAAATAATTCTTAACATTATACAAAAAAAGATTCTCATCCTTTGATACATAGTTAGTGGGTTTTTGGGTTATTCTGTTTGTTTTTTGGTAAAGTGTATGCACGTTGGGGAGGGGAGCACCCTCCACAGGGCTCAGTCGTGCCTTGATCTCCTTCCTGCAGTTCCCCAGCCTGTCAGGATCCAGGCATGGGACCAGCGCATTTTTCAGCATAGGGGGCTGGGTACTTAAATCATGGTTGCGTATGGCCTTAAGCTTCACAGTCTGGTGTGTTCCTGACTGCTTCACAGAGTCTGAGCTGCGATTTGTGGTGTGTTGGATGTACCTCAGATTAAGATGCACTGGCCTAGGCTAGCGCTTTCTTGGGGGGCCAGGGTAAGGTATCCGTTACTGGACAGTTCATAGGACTCTTAACAAGGAAGGGTGGAGAGGATTATTACCCACAGGAGTAGGTAATAATCTTGCCATAATAAGGTCGAGGACAGGTCTAGGAATATGGCATTTTTTTGTTTAGGTTTTCACTGTAGGACACCCGTGCTCACTAGCGAGAGACAGAAAGACAGAGACAGAGACACAGAGGCAGAGAAACAGAGGCAGGCAGAGAGACAGGCAGAGAGAGAGAGACTGAGACAGGCAGAGGGAGAGACAGAGGCAGAGGGAGAGACAGAGATAGGCAGAGAGAGACAGAGAGAGAGAAATCACCTCCCCCCCCCCCCCCCCCCCCCCGCTCCCCCCAGTGGGATAGCCACACTACAATCCCTTCACTTCCTGGGGTTTTGGGCATACACACATACCCAGTGTGACTTTCAAGCCGCCAGGAAGTCCAGAACTCAAACTGCAGAGTTGGCCACATGGGATCCGGTGCCATAATCACTACACCATCTGCTGACCCCAAGAATATGAATGTTTAATGAACCAATATGCTCCTGATGGGGACCAGTCTGTGAACAACATTCTAAGGAGAGGACAGTATATTAGAATGACTGTTACATTGATTAAGAAAGGTATTTTAGAATTTTCTTCAGTAACAGTGAGCATACTGTGCCCCAAGGGCATATTGAATCTGTTGCCTGTTTTGCATAAGATAGACTTTTTACATTTGTAGATGATGGAAAAAACAACTCAAAAGAATATGGACATTATAGAAAACTCAACTTGGAGTGTATATGAATAAAGTTCATAGGAGCACAGCCTTGCTTATTCCTTTACGTTACTGTACCTGCCTCTTATCTGTTGAAATGGCAGAGGCACTATTTCAAGAGATTTTGTGGCCAAGAAAGCTGCAAATATTTGTTAGCTGGCCGTGGACAGAAAGTCTGATAGCCTCTCATTTGTAAGAATAATTTACCAACCTCTCTATATTCTTTTATTCTAGAAGAATAATTTACCAAAGAATAGTGCATTTCCCAACCCTCTCAGATAACTGATAAATCGCTATGTTAGGTGGAAGTACTATCTAGACCAATAAATGTGTGATTAATGAAGCATATGCTGTTTTAAGAATATGTATTCTTTAGAATGATGGTAACTTTGGAGACCAGTAGGTGGCCTGGTGGTTAAGGCACTGGACACTCCCACATGGCTGACCATGGTTTGAGACCTGGATCTGGTGACTTACTTTCTCACTTCCTCTCTCTGTCTCTCTCTCTCTGTGGGTCTCTCTGGTCAAATTAAAATAAATGAGTAAGTAAACTGAAGTAATTCTTATAAAAGTCATGGTAACTTTATTTTAAGGCATATTACTTTAGTGAGATCTGTAATCAGAATAAGCTACACTAAACTTACTCTGATTAGTATAGCTTATTCTGATTACAGAATTACAATTATTCTGTTACAGATTACAATTACTATAGCAAGCAATTGGAGAGAGGAAGTTTTTAACATTTTTCTTCTCCTTCCCCCTCTGAATGTGTCTGTGCATGGAGGCTGGGCCGAGGTAAGAAAGCCTCACCATGTATGTCACACAGCAGCCCTTCCTGATTCCTTCTCCTTTTGAGATTTCAGACACCCGCACACAAATTCCTGGTGCGTCTCTCAAGCCACCAGGTTTAGGACTCCAACCAAATGGTTGCTCGTGTGGGATCCAGCTGCCTTAACCACCATGCCAACCTCCCCCCCTCCCCCCATTTGTGGGATAACTGCTGGTTATTCCTCAAGATAAACTGTGTGGAGTGACTCTAGCACTGAAAATATTCTACAGTTTACCTTAATGTAGTGTATCTACGAGAGAGAATCTTTATCACAACTTGGAGTGCTTCTGGGTGTTTAGTTTATGCATTATGTGTAATGGCATAGATGCTGAATTAGAACTCTTCCTAAAATGTGTCTTATAAAGCTGAAAGACCTACATATATCAGGTTTAGTACAAATTTGAGATTGGGAAATACCTATTTTTTTTTAAAGGTTCAGAAAAATCAAGACAACAGACTTATACTTTTGTTAAGGCTTAATTTTTTAGAATTGTGTGTGCTCCTCTGAGAAGGGAGGGAGGGAGCGAGGGGGAGCATCCCCTCCCACATAGGAAATGGTCATGCTGCAATCCTCCCTCCTCCATTTCTCTCTGCTGTTGGGATTTTGGACATGCGTGCAACTGGGCCCAGAGTGTTTCTCAAGCAGCTGAGTCTGAGACTTGAACCGCACAGTGTGCAGTGTGGAATCCAGCCACCATAGCCACTGTGCCTCTGGCAGGCCCTAGACTTATTATTATTTTTTTAACGCATAGAAGATTTGCCTTGTATACCACTTCATGTTTACGTCCCTTGTCCCAAGTTCACGTTCGGCTCTGTTGACAGAGAGATGGAAGTGTTCCATCAGGTCGTGGATGTGCGTCAGGTCTCACTGATGTACAATGAGATCGTCAGGGTGCTGCTGGGGCTTAGAAAAGCCCCTCCTCTCTGACTCTGAAGCAGTTACGGGGAAAACTGTGAGCCCTTCTTTTGAAGCTTTTTTCTCATGCTACAGAAAGTGCCACGTACAATGTAGGGATATTTGCCTGCTCAAAATGATCTTGGAACTTGAATCAAATGGGAATTCTGTTTCTGTATACAGTTATATATGTGTTGCCTTTTCCATAGAAGAAGTCGTTTTCTCTCTCTACATCTATATCATACCTATAATGTAGATTTCTTTTTTTAAGGTTATACGTTGGCTCTTCAAAGACGTTGACCTCACCAGAGAAATCCCTGACTCCTTTGCAGTGGTGCAGACACGTCCTGGACAACCCGACTCCTGAGATGGAGGCAGCCAGGCGGTCCCTGTGCTTTAGACTGGAGCAAGGTAACTGGGAACGTGTTCGTCTACCTCCTGGCGCTGCCGCTGCTCACGACTCTCCTTTTCCCTGCTGGGTGTGGAATAGACACTAACGCTGAAAACCCACACCCTGAGGCGTACCTGTTGTGTGCAGTTCGTGTCACTTGTCTTACACATAAGCTTCTCAGTATAGGGTGTTTTTAGTTTTCTGCTTGCTTTGGGTCAGATTTTTAGCATGCTTTAGTTTTGTTTTTATTTATTTTTTATTTTTTGGAGAGATTTTCACTGTAGGGCGCGTGCGCTTGCCAGACAGACACAGAGAGACATAGAGACAGAAAGTGAGAAATCACCCCCCAGGGGGGATGGTCACGCCGCAATCGCTTCTCCTCCATTCTCCTCTCGGGATCTTGGGCACGCACGCACACGCGCCCAGCGTGAGTTTTAAGCCACCGGGTCCGGGACGCGAACTGCGGTCGACTAATGGGAGTCCAGCGACATAGCCATTACGCTAACTGCTGGTTCCCAGCATGCTTTAGTTTTTATTGTAGTATAGAAATGTAGCTTTTTTTTTTTTTTTTTTTTTGTTTCTCCTCTACTTTTTCTCCTTTCTGTAGGCACATATGCCAATAAGTAAATAAAATGTCCATCTTCAAGTTTCTGGGGTTGGTCACAGTCAATCGAATCCTCAGGTAGAACACTGGGGTTTCATTGGATTCTGACTCTGACAATAACGTCAGACTATGAGCTCCTTCAGACTTTAGTTAGATGCATATGTATTTGGAAGTTGTTTTTTTTTTTTTTTTCCCGAGAGGTTTTTGCTATAGGGCGCATGCACTCGCCAGAGAGACAGAGAGACAGAAAGTGAGAAATCACCCCCCAGAGGGGTTGGCCATGCCGCAATCCCTTCTCCTCCATTCTCCTCTCAGGATCTTGGGCACGCATGCACACGCACCCAGCGGGTCCGGGACGCGAACCGTGGTTGACTGCATGGGAGTCCAGCGACATAGCCTTTATGCTAACTGCTGGTCCCTGTATTTAGAGTTTTAACCTTTATAAACTGGGAAATAATCATTGCATTGTATGTCACGTTTGCTTAGGGAGCCCAACAGAAATGTAAGTTAGAAAAAAATTAGAACAGGAATAGAAAAACAGCAAAGGAATGAGTAGTACTTAGCTCTTGGCTATTTTGATATATTGTAGTAGACACTTCAACATTGTAACTGTTTAGACTTCTGGCTGGTATCTTAACTTCTTGACATCCTTTTCACGGTCTAAAAACACTGTTTCTGTGGGCCAGCTAGTGGCCTGATGGTTAAGGTGCTGGATTCCCACATGGCTGACCACAGTTCTCCTTCTGTCTTCCTGGTCAAATTAAAATAAATAAATAAATAATAACCAATAAATTAAATTAAAAAATTAAAATAACAAACAAAACAAAAAAAACACTGTTTCTATTCCACGGACCACCTACATCTAAATCACACATGAACTTGACAGTTTAGACCCCCTGCCCCCTCCAGGTCAAAGAATTAGGATTGGGACCAGCAGTTAGTGTAATGACTATGTTGCTGGACTCCCATGTAGTTGACCACGGTTCGAGTCCCAGACCCGGTGGCTTGAACTCATGCTGGGTGTGTGGGTGTGTGTGTGTGTTTGTGCGCCCAAGATCCTGAGAGGAGAATGGAAGAATGGAGAAGGGATTGTGGCATGACCATCCTCCCTGGGGGGGTGATTTCTCGCTTTCTGTGTTTGTCTCTCTCTGTCTTTCTGGAGAACGCATGTGCCCCATAGCAAAAACCTCTCCCCCCCCCCCAAAAAAACAAAAGG